AACTACAACAGAACTAAACAGAACTAGAACAGAACTAGAACAGAACTAGAACAGAACTAGAACAGAACTAGAACAGAACTAGAACAGAACTAGAACAGAACTACAACAGAACTAGAACAGAACTAGAACAGAACTACAACAGAACTAGAACAGAACTAGAACAGACCTAGAACAGAACTAGAACAGAACTAGAACAGAACTAGAACAGAACTAGAACAGAATTAGAACAGAACTAGAACAGACCTAGAACAGAACTAGAACAGAACTAGAACAGAACTAGAACAGAACTAGAACAGAACTAGAACAGAACTACAACAGAACTAGAACAGAACTAGAACAGAACTAGAACAGAACTAGAACAGAACTAGAACAGAACTAGAACAGAACTAGAACAGAACTAGAACAGAACTAGAACAGAACTAGAACAGAACTAGAACAGAACTAGAACAGAACTAGAACAGAACTAGAACAGAACTAGAACAGAACTAGAACAGAACTAGAACAGAACTAGAACAGAACTAGAACAGAACTAGAACAGAACTAGAACAGAACTAGAACTAGAACAGAACTAGAACAGAACTAGAACAGAACTAGAACAGAACTAGAACAGAACTAGAACAGAACTAGAACAGAACTAGAACAGAACTAGAACAGAACTAGAACAGAACTAGAACAGAACTAGAACAGAACTAGAACAGAACTAGAACAGAACTAGAACAGAACTAGAACAGAACTAGAACAGAACTAGAACAGAACTAGAACAGATAAAACAGAACTAGAACAGAACTAGAAACACAACTAGAACACAACTAGAACGGAACTAGAACAGACCTAGAACAGAACTAGAACAGAACTACAACAGAACTAGAACAGAACTAGAACAGAACTACAACAGAACTACAACAGAACTACAACAGAACTACAACAGAACTAGACAATCGTGTAAACACATTAAATTGCCACGCCAATTTTCCTACAATCGTCTGAACTGACAATTTACCTGTTGCTAACAATTTATAATTGTCATTTGTCATGCGAAAGATATCTGGTAACTTCGGACCGTGCAATTCTACCAACATACATACATCCAATCCGTTAGATATCTGGGACCATGAATCATAACCAACATAGCAATAAACACACATTGTTAAATCATCATGGGTTTCTGTTACGGTTCGTGAGGAGTGTTCCTATATAGTTTTAAAATGTATCCGACAGATAGCGCATCAGTTTACTCACTAAAAAGATCATTAACAGTTTGGAGCCAGTAACTCAAACTGGCTAGTTAATTAACAAAACATTTATTTTAAAAAGGATTTAGACGAAGAACATCTTGATTATAATCAAAAAAAAATATATTTTTATTTGCAGATTCCCTTTTTTGTTACAAACTATAAACAATACATAAAATACCCCTTTGAATACTATAGCACCTAAAGGGTATTATCATCATAGCAACACCCTAATTTGATTGAGCGATACAAATAGACAAATGTGTAAAATTTTTCTACACGATACAAACATTTCAATGGTAATTTCTATACATTTATAATTGATTCAAATCAAACATATTTAAAAATTGCAAAAATTTTTGATAATTAACATAAAAATCTATAAAAAAAATAAGGTATAAATAGTTCAGCAGTTTTAAACCTATAAAACTCAAGGTAATAAAAATATGATAAATAATATCAATATATTTTTGAATTATTACAAATTAACTATAAAACAAAATAAACTTTAAAGAAAAATATAACAATGACTACTTTTTGGAATTATGCTTAAGACATTTTGATTAATAACTTTTTTTATTATTAATGAAGCGATTAATTGTTCTAATTTTAAAACAACAAGCTGCTGAAAATTATAACAAATAGCTACGAAAATTAAGAAAAACATATAAAATAAAAGAGGCAAAAGGTAACATTTTTTTGGGGAAAATAACGTATACAAAATTTAATATTATAAAGAAAACAAATATTTTTAAAGCTATATGTATTATTAATCTCTTTTTTTATGCAAAAAAATAAAAAATCGTTTGTCATATAAAAATAGCAAAGCTGGCACATTAATTTTTTAATTTTAGATAATAAATAAATTTTTTGAAAAATAACACACTGCAGCACCTCATACACGTTTCTAAGAAAAATATTTGATTTTCAGTTTAATTTTATAAAAAAAAAAAACCCAAAAACATTAAAGGTAAAACAAGCCATATAAGTCAACGAAAGAATTAATGAATGAATGAATTAGGATTTTATTTTAGATAAATTTAAAAATAAAAAAAATTACTGTGAAAATTTCTTAATATTCAGCATAGATTTTTTTTCTAGATGTCAACTGTTTACAAACAAATTAGTTCTTTTTAAATAGATTTTGAATGAACAATAGCATCACTTTGTCATTCTATTGAGGTGTTGCAAAAATCCCCTTAAACCTCGAGATTTTTTATATAGTATATTTTAATTTTATAATGAATAAGTTCGAATAAAATTTAGAAACAAATGATACATGAGTTTTATCTCATATTCATGAACTTGTTGTATGTCTAAATAGAAAAAAAACAAACTGTTTACTTATATATGTATGAGAAATGTTCAGGAACGTTAAAATCAACATATAGTTTTGACTATAGACTGGTTCGTTCCCATGACAATTGGATCTTCACTCCGGAACGATCCGAATCTTTCAGGGCCAAAGTTTATCAACTTAGCAACAACTTGATACAGTCGAACTATTACAACTATAGTCTGAACTATAGATTGGTCTATAGTCTAACCTATAGATTGGTCTATAGTCTAAACTATAGACTGGTCTATAGTCTAACCTATAGACTGGTCTATAGTCTAATTTATAGACTGGTCTATAGTCTTATCTATAAACTGGTCTATAGTCTAATCTATAGACTGGTCTATAGTCTTATCTATAAACTGGTCTATAGTCTAATCTATAGACTGGTCTATAGTCTAATCTATAGACTGATCTATAGTCTAGTCTTCAGGCTGGTCTATAGTCTACTGAATACGGGTATATATAAAAAATTCACTAGTATATAGACTATACTATAAAATGTCCAGAGACATCTTTATAATCTAAACTGTAGATGGGTGTATAGTTTAGATTATATACTGGTCAATATCATAATCCATAGACGGGTCTATAGTCTAAACTATAGATTGGCCTATAGTTTAATCTATAGGCTGGCCTATAGTCTAATCTATATATTGGTCTATAGTCTAAACTGTAAACTGGTCTATAGTCTAAACTATAAACTGATCTATAGTCTAAACTATAAACAGGTCTGGTCTATAGTCTAAACTATATATTGGCCTATAGTCTAATCTACAGACTGGTCTACAGTCTAATATGTAGAGTGGCCTATAGTATAAACTATAAACTGATCTAACTATAGACTGGTTATAGTCTAAACTATAGACTGATCTACAGAATAAACTTTAGTCTGGTCTATAGTCTAATTTATAGACTGGCGTATAGTGTAAACTATATACTAGTTTAGTCTCTAAACTATACACTGATCTATATTCTAAACTATATACATGTATATAGTATACCCTATACACTGGTCTATAGTCTAATCTATAGACTGGCCTATAGTGTAAACTATATACTAGTCTAGTCTCTAAACTATAAATTGCTATATATTTTAAACTATATACATGTATATAGTATAAACTATACACTGGTCTGTAGTCTAATCTATAGCCTGAACTAAAAACTGGTCTATAGTGTAAACTATAGATTAGTTTAGACTCTAAACTGTAGACTGGTCTATAGTCTAATCTATAGACTGGACTATAGTTTAATTTATAGACAGGCCTATAATCTAAACTATAAACTGGTATACAGGCTAAACTAAAGACTGGTCTAGAGTCTAAACTATAGACTGGTCTATAGTGTAACTTATAGACTGGTCTATAGTGTAACCTATAGACTGGTTTATAGTGTAACCAATAGACTGGTCTATAGTGGTCAATAATCTAAACTGATCTATAGTTTACTTATAATCAAAACTTCAGACTGGTCTCTAGTCTAAACTTTAGTCTGGTCCATAGTCTAATCTATAGACTAGGCTATACTCTTATCTATAGACTGGCCTATAGTCTAAACTATAAACTGATCTACAGTCTAAACTATAGACTTTTGTACAGTCTAAACTATAGACTGTTCTACAGTCTTAACTATAGACTGTTCTACAGTCTAAACTATAGACTGGTCTATAGTGTAAACTATAGATTGGTCTATAGTCTAAACTATTGATTGATCTATAGTCTAAAGTATAGACTGATGTATAGACTTGTATAATTTAAAACAACAAATGTTAGAATGACAAACTACGTTCTTAAAAAACATATTGATTTAAATATTTTAAAAAACAATTCGTTTTCAAACATTTTACTAACATAAAATTTATGTTTTTCATAATTAAACATAAATATTTCAATGTGTTCTTTTGGGTAAATTAACAATATTTAAAATTAAATTGAGCATTTAAATACATTTGTCGTGTTTCTTTCTTTTCCTATTAGAAGGGGCTGTCTTCTATAGTGGTTTAGTTTTAAAGTGTAAAAAGTGTATAAAACACTTTTTGGCAAAAAAAAAAAAAAAAAAAAAAACTTGACAAAAGGCCCTCATGTATAGAAATAAATTAAAAACTGGCAAAAAAACAACAACTCACAACAAAGAATCGCATTTGTAATTATTCTACTACATCTAGTACACAGAATACATATTTGTTAATTTAAATAGCTACAACATGTTAATTCTATTATTTTATTTTCAGCATTTAATATGCTAATTTTAAGACAATAGAATATAAATAAATAATTTATTTGCAAATTAGTCATGTTGTTTATTTTGTTATTATAAGAGGCGGACAGACAGAAAATTTGTAAAAATTAGTATTTTCATGTTGTATAATAAAGTAATTTTAATGTTTATAATATATTTATTTTTTTATTTAATATAGTGTCAAAACTTACCATTGTTTACTTTTATGTATGGCATCATACACAGGACTCTCGAAATCATTTAATATAAAATATGTTCGCCAATCACAATCGTTAATAAGTTCCAGACCAGTTTCCGATGTTATGATGGGAACACCAAATGTTTGGGCAGCTTCAACAGTCGTCGCATCATTTATCACATCACCCACCAGACAAATGCGTAAATTTTCCGGTGAGGGAGGAGGTGAAATTGACATTTCTGGAAAAAAGTGAAAAAAACATTTATTTATTAGCATTTATTTATAATGAACTTTAAATTGTTAAATTAGTTTAGAGTTCAAAAACCTGCGATTAGTAAAAAACATTCACTTTTAATGTATTTATCACTGTCTGTGGTATCATTTGCTAAAAAAAACATTTCCTCTGATATATGAGTTCAAGAAACTTTATGGATATAGTAATTTTCTACTATATCACTCTGTTGAAAAATATCCTTTTAATGGTTATAAGTACCTTTTCCTGGTGTCAGTTTTGTGTTATCAGAAGTTCAAAAACCTGTTATGTATTTGTAGATAATGTTGTGTTTAACTTCCCTTTGTTGACAATTGTAATTTATAATATGATCCTTTGACAATTTATCTGACCTCTTCTCATTACAAAAAAGAAATCAGTTCATGAACCTATAATTCAAGATAATGTTCAATTCAAGATAAAGTACTCTCTTTATAATTGTTTAAATGATCCTTTTTATAAGTATTGTAACGTCATTATGATTATTATGTTACGTCATTTTAATTCAGTGATAATTTCTGTGACCTTTTCATTTATATATAGTTCAAAAACCTCCTCTCTTTTCTATAACTACAGATATTTGTCAAACAGATCCCATATCCTCAAAAGTTCGAAAACCTTATAAATTTTAGTTAAAAATTGTTTTCAATTAAGAACATAATTTATAATTCAGATATGTCTCAATGATCTTTTTTATATACTTTGAAAATATCATTATTAATTCCTCTCTGGGACAGTTTTGCCGGTCTTTTTTCATGTTATCAAAAGTTCATAGAACTCTCAAGTTCTAGTCAAAAATTATTTTCAATTAAGAGTTGCAGAACGTTAATACTTTGCAAAAAAACTGAGCTGGAATTAAAGGTGGGGGTAATTCATAAGTTTACATGAAATTATAGTCTTGACTATAGAATAATCTATAGTCTTGACTAGACTATCTATAGTCTTGACTATAGACTAATCTATAGTCTTGACTATAGACTAATCTATAGTCTTGACTATAGACTAATCTATAGTCTTGACTATAGACTAATCTATAGTCTTGACTATAGACTAATCTATAGCCTTGACTATAGACTAATCTATAGTCTTGGCTATAGACTAATCTATAGACTAATCTATAGTCTTGACTATAGACTAATCTATAGTCTTGACTATAGACTAATCTATAGTCTTGACTATAGACTAATCTATAGTCTTGACTATAGACTAATCTATAGTCTTGACTATAGACTAATCTATAGTCTTGACTATAGACTAATCTATAGTCTTGACTATAGACTAATCTATAGTCTTGACTATAGACTAATCTATAGTCTTGACTATAGACTAATCTATAGTCTTGACTATAGACTAATCTATAGCCTTGACTATAGACTAATCTATAGCCTTAACTATAGACTAATCTATAGCCTTGACTATAGACTAATCTATAGCCTTGACTATAGACTAATCTATAGCCTTAACTATGGACTAATCTATAGCCTTGACTATAGACTAATCTATAGCCTTGACTATAGACTAATCTATAGTCTTGACTATAGACTAATCTATAGTCTTGACTATAGACTAATCTATAGTCTTGACCATAGACTAATCTATAGCCTTGACTATAGACTAATCTATAGTCTTGACTATAGACTAATCTATAGTCTTGACTATAGACTAATCTATAGTCTTGGCTATAGACTAATCTATAGTCTTGACTATAGACTAATCTATAGTCTTGACTATAGACTAATCTATAGTCTTGACTATAGACTAATCTATAGTCTTGACTATAGACTAATCTATAGTCTTGACTATAGACTAATCTATAGTCTTGACTATAGACTAATCTATAGTCTTGACTATAGACTAATCTATAGTCTTGACTATAGACTCAACTATAATCTTGTCTATAGACTCAACTATAGACTAATCTATAGTCTTAACTATAGACTAATCTATAGTCTTGACTATAGACTAATTTATAGTCTTGACTATAAACCAATTTATAGTCTTGACTATAGACCAATTTATAGTCTTGACTATAGACCAATTTATAGTCTTGACTATAGATTAGTCTATAGTCAAGACTATAGATTTGACTACAGACTAATCTATATTCTTGACTCTAGACTAATCTATAGTCTTGAGTATAGACTAATCCATAGTCTTGACTATAGTCTAATCCATAGTCTTGACTATAGTCTAATCTATAGTCTTGACTATAGACTAATCTATAGACTTGACTATAGACTAATCTATAGTCTTGACTATAGACTAATCTATAGTCTTAACTATAGGCTAATCTATAGTCTTGACTATAGACTAATCTATGGTCTTAACCATAGACTAATAGACTATAATAGACTATAGACTAATCTATGGTATTGACTATAGACTAATCTATAGTATTAACTATAGACTAACTATAGTCTTGACTATAGACTAACTACAGTCTTGACTATAGACTAACTATAGTATTGACTATAGACTAATCTATAGTCTTGACTATAAACTGATCTATAGTATAGTCTTGACTATAGACTAATCTTTAATCTTGACGTATAGACTGATATATAGTCCTGAAGTATAGATCAGTATTTATAGTATTGACGTATAGACTGAACTATAGTCTTGACTATAAACTGACCTATAGTCTTGACTCTTAACTGATCTATATACTGATTTATTGTCTTGATTACAGATTGATCTATAGTCATGACTATAGAATGATCTATAGTCTTGACTATAGACTGGTCTATAGTCTTAACTATAGACTGATCTATAGTCATATGTTTCATGCATAAAACATCCTTTCGTCACGAAAGTACTCTTTGTATATGAGAGTGAAAACATTCGTCACTTTATTGTTATGAGCGAAAGCTCTGAAAATATTATTCAGTGCAAATTTTTAAGGCAGGACATCTCCAATTCTTTTTTTTATAATTTTATGTTCAAACATATAACATAATTGTTTCCGCCAAGAAAACTGACGCATATTTCCCAGTAATAATCGTTTCTCACCAAGTTTTTTCATATATAAATAATATAGAACAGGATGTTAAATATATATCATACAAAGCTACTTATCAATGAGCCCACGCAAAAATTGACTACATAACAATGAACTTGAATTGAAAATTGTCATTACACACACTCACACCTATCCATTCATACATCCATCCAACCAGCCATCCATCCATCTCTCTCATACGTTTCATGCATAAAATACAACACCACACAACAATAATAAATTCTATTATAAACACACGTCCATATTCATACAAATAGTACGTACTATATACTATATAGAAACATATAGCACAACAACTATAGTACGTCGACAACGAGAGTACATGCAGACATGTGTAAAACATATTAATGTAATCTTTTGAATTGTTGAATAAGAAGAAGAAAAGGAAATTAAATAATATAAATAAAAAGAAAGAAAAACAGCAACACAAACTAACAAACATTAACATAAACTTATTTAGTACGAGCGTACAAATAATGTATGGATTTATGTCGATGTACCGAGAAAGGTACGTAAGTTGGTACTTATTTTAATGTATCTATGAAATTGTTGTTGTTGTTGTCATCGTTGTTGTCTACCATTTGCACCAGGCACCATGTGTACCAGCTGTTTTTCTTATTATTTTGGTTTTAGTATTTCTTTTGATTTTTATGTTTTCGGAAGATCTTTGTAGTATAAGTAATCAAATGTTGAATTATTGAGAGAACGAGGGAGGGCTAGAGAGAAGAAAGGAAGCAAGAAGAGTGTCATTGTTGATGATTTTGTTTGTTTATTTATCATTTTCAAAAAACACAGAGTGACAAATATTTATTTGTGGAAATATAAACAAATTATATTATTTGATAATTGGCTTTTAAACATAATTGATTTTAAATTATAGTCTACAAGGGGCAATAATTTTTATCTTGAAATGTATAATTGTATTTTATATAATTTTATACGCAAATCAAGATTCTCAATGACTTTTTAGAAGTAAAATGTATAATAAAATTAATTTTGTCATTTAGTTGGTAAAACATCGAAATATCGGTCGTAGACCCACAACATCTAAGACGACCTAGCTACATATGAATGTATTTCTGTTTATCTATCGGTATAAAGCACAAAATGATCAAATATTGGTTCAAATGAAAAAAAAAAATTAGAAAAATATCCGCCCGTCAGACGTTTAAGACCATTTTATATGCAATGGGTGGACATGGCGCATCAAATAAGTTAAATTCATTTCAAAGCTGATTATTTTTTGTTCATGATATTTATCCCGATGTTGTCAAAGTACGCTTTAAAATAATTCTCTCTCAAAACCGACGCTGTCAAATGACAAATTTTCCGAATTTGCGTCTTCACTTTATAATCGATACACTTTGCTTTACTAGTGTTTATAAGTACATTGTGGACATTCAAGCCTTTTTTTTTTTGAAGGGTCCGATATGAAGCCCGATCACAACGGAATTCGGCAGAGTCATCAAGGCATCTGTTGTATGGGAACTAGATGATTTATACAACGAAACCTACTCCTTGGTCTAATTTTTTTTTTTCAATTTCTTTTAAAAACCTAGTCTATATAGGCCATAACCTAGCCTATATAGGCCATAATCGGTTATAAATTTCTACATATAATTTTCATCAAATTATCTTGAAGATTGCTGTCTGTCGAATCATAAAATCATTCTAAGCCAATAGGTCAATACTTACATATTTCAAGCCGAATCAATTATTATTTTTTTAATAGAAAACATTCTTTTTAAACTCTGCAAGTTTAACAACTAATATGAAAATTAAAATTGTAATATACATTATTAGTCACACTGTATGTACTACGTACACGGTCTACATGATTGACAATCACTAATGTTGTCTTCAAGATGAACTAATACAAAAATAAACACAAAATAAATATACTAGAAATATTTTAAGCTAAAAAACATAAAATTTTAACATTTAAAATC